TGTTGGACCATGGGCATAGCTTCGTATTTTCTTCAGGTTGCAAGCGAGAAAACCGCTGTCCATTTAGGATACTTGTGTTTCTCTATATTTATGAAATTTGTATATAAATGTAGTCCCTGTTATTATCCCTATTAGTTTCGTATCTATTTAAGAGAGGCTTAGCGTTACAGTTTTAAATCGTTTGTCAACCGCCTCGCAGCTTCTACATGTTTTACATACAATAGTAACGGTACAATTACTAATGACGTTCTTCCGCTTTTGTTTTTACCTAGACACTGTTTCAATGAACTACGAAAAAGGGTTGCGCATAGTTTTTTTTCACGGCTTTCGTGGTGGGCTAGGCGTTCCATTGAACTTGCAAAGTGGGCATTGACTTATTCTTCAAATAGAAATATTGTAACGACTTAATGGATTTACAAAGTATTAATAGCTTTTAACACTAAGCTCACTACACTTATTAAGACACAGGTCTTGCAGTTTGGTGTCCTCTTTGGTGCTGGAGATCAACATCATCTCCACTTGATCAGAAATAATTACGAGGGCACCATGCAAGAGTACCCAGAATGTACAGGGTACCAGCTTTTCTGTGCAAGCGCTTATAAACGCATATTAGTCATTAATTTTGAAGGATTTTCGAGAAATATCAGAACATCTAGTTATCGTAGCTTTTCGATAGAAAGCGGGTCACTGATGATTACGACCGCGTGTACCTACAATTAGAGAGACCTAGGCGTCGACTAACATATTAACAGGGAACGTGGACCTATCTGAGGAACAGGAGCTATATAAGCCAGCCACCCCTTTTAGCGGCGGGACGTTTATTTTAAATTTGAATAACATGAAGCTTTCAGAATGTACATGGGTCAGAAGCGCAGTACAATCAGCGTCACTAGATTTTTCTCAAAAGGTGGAACTAATGGAACGGCTGAGTATTTTATCGCACTTTTGTTAAACGATAAAAGAAATAAACGAGTATGACCGCGTCGTTCCTACCGCAGCTTTTTTTTTCACTGTATCAGAGCTACATTTTCAAAGGCAGACCAAAAATAAGATACATTTAATGAAAGTCATTCATTGCATGGTTATACCCGGTGCTATATGAGCTAAAAAAGAAAACAAGTAGAACTAGATAAGCCACTGCATTTCAAGTGTATACAGAAGCGAACACCGTCGATGTTGATTTTTATGAGAGATTTGGGAACGTAAATTATTCCAGAGACCAACTTCACTTAGCAGGAACTTGTATATGCGCCAATGTAAACTCTGTAAAACAAAAAATAGCTGTGCACTCATGTGAAGCGTACACCGTTGTTATCAACGACGTGTGATATCTGGGTGTGTTTTAAAGAAATTTTGACAATTTTTAAAGAGAACGCATCATTCGGATCCAACAAAACAATATCGTCGCACATACTTTAACAATACTCATGATTATGGGTCAGAATTTACTGTGGATATCAATGTACACCAGAATCAACCATAATTACAGACTTTAGTCCATTTAAGTTGGCTTCGGAGAACGATATGCATATTTTAACTCTTCTTTCTCTATTTTTGCTTGAAATGAGCCTCACAGATCTGCTAATAAAAGCCATTCATCACAGGCATCACACTGAATGCTGGACTTCTATCCGAGCTATGGCAGACAAATCATAATCTTCGACCTGCCCCACTTAGCAGTAAATAGCTACCACGCAAAAGCTTTTCTAATCATGACCGAAGCCCTCTATAGGAAGAAAGGTATTCATTTTTGTTGAATGACTATTTTCTTCGTGCAGAGTTTGTAGTGGCCCACATATCCCCACTTCTGGTTTATCTAATCCCATATTTGTGAGCTACGATCTTTAATTAACAGTTTATCGAAAACTAGTAGATTGCAACAGTACAATGATCATCGGTAGCAGTGGTTTGTTTTTCTCTATAGCGTTAAGTAAATTTTGGCCGATATAGCCCATATAATAAGCATATTTCTCTGACTCCTTGCGGTCTTTTCCGCCATATGTCCATGTGTCACGCAACGTTAGCGGTACATCCCAGAAGTGGTTCTGAAAAACAATAAAATAATAAACTTTATCATATAGAACAGAGTGATTTTCTAATTGTGACTGAAGGTGGACTTAGGTCCTTCAGTAGGGAAAGTTTTTCATTGGATATTGAACACGCACCCTGCGCAAACTGAAATAATTGCCTGGTGTTATTATATTCTTATTGTGACGACTACGGCTATTGCTGACAATAGGTCTAAAAACGGGAACAAGCAAACACATAAACGCAGTTTGTAGACGAGAAACCTATTGTTGCAGCTGCTAGAAGCGAAAGCTGGCGTCACGCGATGGGCGATATAAGGCGAAAATCACCACTCAGGAGGAAGACCTTGTAGCACCCGAGCGTCGTTATTGCGTTGGGAATAGATATGCGACACGAAAGCCGTAGCGGCAACGGCGCCAGCATGGACGGCTGGCTAATTGGTTGGCTGCAGTTAACGACGCGTCGACAAAGCAGAAAATCGGAGAAAGAAAGGGTTAGAACGTGCTTGCCCTCGCCGTACTGACTTCGCTTGATTACTACACATACGGTACGGTGTGGGTCCGCGCAGCGCTGGCTATGTCTATGTCAATGTGTGCTATCTATTGTCGGGTGTCCGTTACAAGCGGATGGATTCAAGCATTTGCTGTTTGTGGGCTTCCTTGACTGCTTGCAGCACTGCTCGCCGTCCCTTTACCTTCTCATATACCCCATATCTGGCTGTGGGTTTCCATATTTGTCCCGAATAGAACTTTCGCCAAGGCTACCTGATCACGGCTATCCTTCCATTACAGGCAACTTTGTCAGCAGTGTTGGCGCTCATGGTAATGGTAATGACGACAACAACAATAACGACGACAAGGGGCAGAGGTCGACTGCGGTAAATGTCGAAATTACCACATGACAGTCCCGATTACCTGCCATAAAGGCATACCTGGTATACTGCATTTGACCTCTAAGACAGAAGTAATTCTTGTCCTCTGAAGCAGCTTATAAAGAAAGGGGAATGATATTGCCAGTGATGGTGAGACGATATATATATATATATATATATATATATATAGGTGTCAAGCTCTGAACCCATTGCGCTTCCTTACTGTGCCGTAGTTACAAATTGCCACGCTATAGTCAACGACAACGCGTGGTCTATTTGGACTGGTGTTCACCGTCATCAACGCCTACCAAGTAGAAGCATCAGCATCTGTTTATCATACAACAAACACTGTTTCCCTGAGGTGAGCACCAGAGCGCCTCCCGTCGTTGTTAATGCGATTTGGGGCGAAATGTCCGTTGACTGTAGTAGCAGAAGCCAGCGTCGCCGAAGTACTAACCGTCAAAAAGGCGAAGTGGCCTCGAACTCGAGGAGCCATGCTTATATCCTAGAACTGAAGGGTTGAGCTACAGCCACCGGACGCGCCGATCACACGCACATACTACCAACGACGACGGAGACGATGGCGACAACAACATCAACAGCTACAGCGCCAGCCATTGTGCACATACGCACACACGTGTATCCGTCTATCTAGAAAAGAATCAGCTTGTGCATTAATGCCATTGTGGGTATTCCATTCTTGTCCATGTCTCTATTTTCTGTTGCTCTTCATTTACCTTTCTACATAAATATGAAAGAGGTAGCCGGGGGCAAAGGCAATATATACACAATAAAATATACAAAGCAATCAGGTGGCGCAAAAAACTGTAGATGCAGTCAGTAATCGCCACAGCAGCGATGGTATAACAGCAGGGAAGTGTAACTCGAATGAATCTATGATTGGACGCAGGATATCTCGAAGTCCACCGGCGCACTGGTTGTGTTTTTTTCCTATTTTGGCTAGTTGTTTGGACCATTGCTGACCCCGTCATCGCCGCTGTTGGTCGCGGCAGGAGAACAAAGTCCACGGTTGCCAGAGGCGTCAAGCCAGCGCATCTGTCGATTGTCGACTGACTGCGGGGCGCAGCTTCGAGGGATCGGGGGGTAAAAGAACCAAACAAAAAAAAGAATCAAAAACAGCCTTCGTCGTAGTGTCATGAGATGCGGTGGAAGACAAATGGACGGACGCGCAGGCAGGCAAGCACGCGACGGTTCGATGCCGCTGCGTTCACTGTGGCCAATGCAAAACACTGATGAGGACTGGGCAGCAAGGGAAAGACAAGTAGGAAGTTTGGGTTGACATAAAGTAGAAGAGAATATGAAGTGGATGATACATTGTATCTAGATATTATCGAATAGTCGGGGAATACAAGGTTTCGATGTTTAATAGGTGTGGCGTCAATTGTTCGGTGTTAGACATAGGCATACCTCAAACTAATTAGAACGGCGATATACTTCCGTATATAAATTCACAGATAAATGTGTTTGTGCGGCGGAAATCGTAACTATGTGCAACTAATTATTATCCCGATAATTGTCTTTTACATATTACTCTTAAAACCTATGAATTTTATTTGAATTATTGTGTAAAACGGGAGATGCATCAATTGGAGCATACGTTTATATCTGCATGAGGCATCTTGCCTTCACCTGTCTTCCGCATACATTGTTTTATCTCTAAGACACTAGTGGTAGTCAGAATGACTGCTGCAGAGGTGGATGTTCACATGAGCTCTATCCGTTCACTGGTTCGGCTAAAAAAAACTTGCGATCATTCCAATAGATGGCAGCAAGTGAAGTCGCTTGAAGGAGTTTGCGTTGAAAGCACAAAAATGCTTCTTCTTTTAAGGCGGAGGAGATTACAAGCCAAAATATTGACAGTGTAATTCTCGTTTTTGCAAAATTAGACTTGAGGCAAAATCGTCATAGAAATTTTGTATCATTTCTCTACTTTATCAGCAAGCTATTGTATGGTCACGATGATCGGACATAATGTTACGTCAGGACTAGGCCGCTTAGGTAATCAACCAAATAAAAACCTTTACCTAATAAAATCTGTTTTAGTAATACTTAATGACGATGATGTGTCATTTCGTTGCAGGATCCGATGTCACACAGAATCATAGAAAAGCGAAGACGAGACAGAATGAATAACTGCTTGGCTGACCTGTCTAGACTCATACCTGCTATCTACCTCAAAAAGGTAAAATTTACCTCTTATTTACCAAATAAAAACACTTGCACGGCATGAAAGAAATGTGTCAGCTCTAGCCAGGTTAGCAAATTAGTGCACCATGAAGTGGGATGTAACCCTTCACTCTCCTTAAACTATCTACCTGTTATCACTACGGCCCTCGTTTATGTGCCTATGCCTTTTTATATATATATATATATACACTGGGCACTTGGAGAAGTAAGGCTACGAGAGTCAAACCAACACCCATCCCGGATCACTAGGCTAGGAAAAACGGCGCAGCGTGGTTCACTCATTGATTCCTTCAAATGTGCCTACATTTTTCATTCGTCCGTTCATCCACTGTTTGAATATTTCACAATTTTCCGTTTTTCTATATTGTTTTTAGTTTTTTCCTTTATTTTCATGCGGTCTTCTTCTGCTGGTTATCTTATGGCTTCCAGTTACCGGTCCGATCGGCACTGAGCTTCAATCAACGGTCACAACAACATTACATATACATATATTCTTCACACAAATACTCGTGTAGAATATGGAGTATAAATTAGAAACAGTAAAACGTGTAAGCATACTAAAGGCCAAAATATGCTTATCATCGTGTTAGAGGCAGTCAGGTTTTGCCACACTGAGTTCTTTTCAGCGTCAAACATAATGCGATGTGGGTTGTTTGAAAACGATTAAAAAAGGCGCCGGGGGGCTCTCTGTTGATTGAGTCCTTTCGTCCAACCCGAGATGCATTTTTACCGTTCAATTCAATATATGTGCATGTATTATATAGTAGAATTCAGTATAGTTATGAGTTATCACACTTTTAGATATCCGTAGATAAAATCTCATCGCTAGATATCTTACGATTATAACAAACACGCTATACACGACTGGTCTAATTGGCATAAGGCAAAATACAGAACCCTTTATTCAAAACGAACGAATCGTTTGAATTTTCGCGCCATTAAATGACTGCTTATGATCCACATTTGTTTTGGCAAAAAGATCAAGGCCTTAACTAACATAATGCATCCTCGAGTTTCTCGGTAAAGTTGAATAAGTCTATATATTGAGCGATCTGTGATTTTTCTTCAAATAAAGTAATTAATGTGTATTAGGTTTTATGTGAAACATAAAATCGTTTATACAAATATTTTCCAAATAGTGTAAAATACTTATGGAAACTAGATATCAAATGACCAGCAGATAGACAGCTGCGAAGAACTAAACCAAGAACATTTTTCGGCACTTTTAGAAGAGTCAAACTTGCTTGACCTTATCATTACGGGTGACCAAACGTGGGCGTGTGCCTACGACGAAAAAATCGAGGTGTAACCTTTCGAGCACTGGTTGAAAAACGAATATAGACCAATAAGAGTCACAGGATCCGGGTCCGAGACCAAATGCTACTCAAAGTTTTTTCGACTATTGGTAATTGTATATCATAAATTCATGCCGTCCGGCTTTACGGTTAGCGAGGGTGTGTCCGAGGCAAAGGATCAGAATTGTAGCGTAGCAGGTTCTGGGTCCTCCATAACGACAAAACACTTCACTAGTGGTTCAGTGGTGGGCATGTGTGTTGCCTTAATCCCGTATTCGTGACCCCGTACTGTGATTTTGTTTTGCCCTGGACTGAAAAAAAGCTCAAAGGGCTCCAACACGATCAAGCAAAATAAACAATCGCCAATCTAGCTAAGGGCTACCCCGAAAATAGAATTTCTGAGCACTCAAAAAGCGGTGACATAAATGTGTCGCACCTGATAATAATAATTTACAGGGGACTCTTTGAACTGAAACAATTAAATAAAAACTTATTAATCTGGAACAAACAAGTTAGCCGAAGCATGCGGTTGACGATGCTTATGATGTTGCTTATGTCTCTCTCTCTACGGCAGCGGATGGACGACGAAAAGATCATGTGTCTAATGAGAGCTTATATAACTACAGTAGACGTGTACGGTGAGTCGGTGAATGCCTCGCGTGCTCTATCACGCGTGACTTCATAACCCGCCCGGATAACAGGGCAGGTATGCCCTGTTCCTTTTCAGCGCGACCAGAACGGTCTAAGTAGAAATAGTGCCAACAAAAGTTGTAGAGTGTATATATATATATATACGACTCCTTGGTAATGCATAGTGTCATATCTTGGGCATAATATGTATAGTCACCATTCAGGATACCAAATTATCGGAATTTATGTTATTAAACGGATTCAGATCGATCCGGTTTCTGGGAAACAGCTCGTTTATTGACATATTTCGTTCTTGTTGGAAAAAGAGAGAGTCTTTAGTTTGAAATATGTTCGGGAATATTTAGCTCGAAATGGGGTACCAATGTGTCATTTAAGTATTTATTGCGTTCTTTACTATCGTAATTGTGATCTTGCCTGTTTTCTTTGGTAATAATCCATCGATAACAACCTCGTGACGTCTGAAACTGCGTCATCTGCCTGGCCTACGCACAAATAAAGTTCACGTTGTTGTTGTTTGTCAACGGCAGTCGCCTACTGTCATTATATTGTGCTGTTTAGCATGCCCCCTGCATTCGATGCTCTCTTCTGCTAAATTTAGTTTACCCTGGTGGACTAGAGGAGTGGAGATCACGCCATCAATTTCGTTCATTCGGTGACTCGATACTACTACCGTTCCACACCGACAGACCAACTCAGAGGCTTAGATCCCCGCACTCAGGTAGACACATACACACACATATAACGCCCCTTACGCCATAAACACACAAAGTGGCAAGTGCGCTGCTGACAGTGTTGTCGACATCTCTGTGTCATGGTTATTAGGGCATTGCAGGAGCTCTGTGCTTGACCCGATGCGCTTGAAAGGGCGTTGCCGTGCCCCCCCTGCGGCATTTAACCTAGCCACCAGTCCTCAGCAGACTAATTGATCCACCCCATCTCTGGCGCGCTGTCACGGGACACGAACGGCGGGCTAGCTAAGTTATCTATTCTATGCTGGGAAAAGTAGTTCACAGTAGGCTAGCGTACTGTATTTATAGCGAGGCATAGAATCTTTTTCCGAGCAAATGCACCCATTCCGTTCTCGGATCTTGATGACGTCAGCGCCTGTCGCAAATACATCACCCCGCACGGTACACACCGTGCCACCAAGTCTTGTTGCCACACCTCTATCGCCTACCCTCGTCCAGATACTTTCATGTTCTTCCTCTTGGATACCTCCTTCTTCGCTGCTGCCGCCAATGTTCTCGTCTCAGACACCCAGCCAGCCAGCCAGCCAGCCCGCCCGCGAGCACTACAAAATGCGTCCCGCAGAACCCCAATTCTCTTGAAACCCCACCTACATTTTACATCTGTCAGTCGGATTGTTTACACCGAGGGTCGTTCATTGTCTGTGGTTCAGAGCGATTCTGCACACCAGAATCCTACTGATGCCCTTTCTCTTTAATAGTGAGAGAAATAGAGAAAAACAGAGAGACTCAGAACGGCTGAGAGAAAGTGATACATTAAGACCAATTGCTCGGACAACAGTCTTATAGATATAGGCTATCAAATTATCAAGGTTAGCACGTACTCAGAATACGACTGAGGACCTGGTTGTATCCAGGACTCACACAACAACCGTGGACCCAAACTGAAGCGAACATCATATTCATCCCGTTTCAGAACTTCACGGGATGGTACTGATACTACTATACAGTTTATTCAAACTTCCTTCTCCTATAGACGCAATGGCGCTCTTCACAAATTAGGAAGTAAACAAAATAGATTCTCTCTGATCGCCTTTGTATTAAAATAATAAAATATTGTAGTAAGCCCAATGAAGGCTCTAATTATAAAGCTGCGCCTACCATTACTCATTGCTGGAGTAGAAACTGTCAATTTTTTGCCTTATTATAGCGTTATCAGAAATACTGTCTTCCGACAGTTGAAGTATGCTGGTGTCAAACTATAATAGTGCTGTTTAATACAGGTGCCGGCGACGGAAGGCAGACAGGCGGGCTCATCTAGCAACGATGCCTCCAGTGCTCGGGAACGCTCGGTCGTAGGATGCATAATAATAGTAATAACACTAAACAGTGTGTTATGAAAAAGTGCTCGCTGAATTGGTTTAGCTTGAGGATATCGAAGCTTTTCTACGTGTAATCAAATAGTTTTGGCATGACTTAGATACGCGAATGTAACGCGGACATTTACTGGTCGGGTAGAAGTACGATGGTGCGCCAGCGGTATCTTGTAGGGCACGCTTTGTGTGTAACCGTATTTTGCCGGCAGTGGTAGAGGCCTGCTTGGTAACAACGATTTGATTCGAACAGAAGGAAAGGGGCTGGAAAGTAAAGCAATGTCCAAGGTCGAAGCAACGCGGTGAGTTACAGATTGGTTTACGATGTACTGCCTTCACGCTAGCAATATTCGATAAGCTCAGTCTTTGAAAGTAGTGCATTAACAGAGTGCTTACATACCGACAACAGTAAAGATGGCGTACGCAAACTATTTGATATCACTGTTTAAGTAGGCTATTTCAATTCAATGAATCGTACGATTCCAGTTAATGTTAGAGGGTTATTTGGTATCGATTTTAGACTTCCACCAAGACCCTGATATTGGACTAGAGGCTTCGGACGCAAAGCTATGAACGCCAAAGATACGCCGATACTCTACTATTTAGTCTATATTTGTCCAGAAGCAAAGGTCACAATCGAAACATCAATGAGTCGTCGTCACGGATTAGACGACAACTCATTGGTCTGTTGACAAAATGGAAGTATAAGTTTAATTATGGCTGTTGTCACAGAACGTCGAAGCATATAGTGTCAACAGGATTTTCGCCATTTTCCTCAGCAAATGATATTTTTAGCGGTCCAGAAAATCGTCGGAGCATTTCTTCGCAGACAGATAGTAATGATACAAAGAGCAGGAGACTAACAAAATGAGGGTCACGGATTGGAGATCGCAGCATTTGATCACCGCGAGATTTCAACGACTACGACAAAACGGGTGATGGGCGCAAACATAAGCTTCCATCTAGTTTAGTACTGAATCCGACTGCCTTTCAAGAAGCATATTTACCTAGCTGTTTGCCTCCGGCCTGCCCTGACTCTCGGTCTTTCTGCAAATGTAATCATTTGTGACGAGTACGTGTTCTGTTCCATCTTATCCACGCACAAACGTATTCCGGCAAGGACTATAAACTACCATAACGTAGTTTGACTATTACACACGCGCACAAGCGTCGACGGCAGCTGCAAGAGCAACAGCGATGCAGAGGCACAAGCGTTCAGGCTACGCGGGAACGCCCGATATAGAGACATGCCAAACAAAGAGTATAGACAGATGGATCTTCTTTTCGTAGGTCGGTTAACAGATATAAAGGGATCCATTATACGTACAAAGGTGCGTATCCGGTCAAGAGACGATCAACTGCCTGCCGTCACCTGAGTCAACGTGTTCGAATGTGCACGAATCCTCCCCGCGATCATATCGAAACTAGTGACCAGTGCTATGTTTCGTACACGACAGCAGCAGGTGGTGATTTTGACCAGCTACCACATTAAGTCTAGGACGAGTCCTATATGGGTAGATATTTCTGTCCCTGGCTGTTAGGTGTCCGACCCAGCCGAATCGAGCTTCAACACAAACATTGCTATCTAGTGAAAGATAGCGACTCAACTGATTGCTTGTATAGTGCTGACTTCAAACGTGCCCATAGATGTACCAGAAATTGTTCGGCAAACGATTTTTTTGTTTGTTCATAATAAAGATGCACTATAAGAAATACATCAATCTGCGAAGCAATGCAGATTGCTTTGTACCGCCATTTGTTTGGCGGTGCGATATAGTCGAATATGTTCAATGAAGCACTCACATATCGACATATTGCTAATGGCTATGCATAACACAATGAATAGACCTGTTCATTTTCCATCGTTATATACAGCCGATCCCTACCAATAACTGCAATGTTTAAGCAATATCGCACTTATATTTGCCCATGCCTTAGTATTACTACACAATGTACAGCAGTACTATGTTAGACTCATTGATAGTACTGCACAGATATAAGTACGATCGTGGCCGTAATGCCCCTACGTAATATATATATTAGTATAGAAAGCGAGGCTTCGATCTTTCACATCGTCGCCATCTTCGGCGTTCGGTAAACATAATAGAAACCGAAAAAAACATGAGTTGTTATTATACTAGAATAAGCACACTTTTTATTATTTACAAAGCATTTTCGCTATTCCTCATCTCCTAGTGGTAGTACGATTACGTGACGGCGGTACCGTGCAGAACGGCCAACTGTTGAATTGTTTGGGTGATACATCTACTTAATGTTTACATATATCGTATTGTATGTATTTGTTCGTTGTTTTATCTACGCCCAGTTGTACTCGCGCACGGGAAGCCTAATCATCGAACATTTTTTAGATCGACTGGCGCCTAGTATGTGTGTGTGTGTGTGTGTGTGATATATATATATATATATATATATATATATAGAGAGAGAGAGAGAGAGAGAGAGAGAGAGAGAGAGAACCAGCCACCCTAGCCAGACGCGAGCCCGCTGCCGGCGTGGTCGTCGTCAACATTGTGTGTGTCTATGGATATCTGTATCGATGTCACAGCGTAATGACCGCGTCTGGCTGGCGCAGCTGCTTCTATGTAACCGATCGATTATGTCACTGGCGGCGTTTCAACAGATGTAGCAGTATTTATAGCGGTAATGCAGTAACAGTAGTAGTACTATTCCTTTTCCGTACCCGGTTGTGCTCTATCATGCAGCTCGCTAACTAACAAAACGCGGCGGAAACCTGGCAGGTAGAACTGACCCGTCCCCTTTTATCCTCCGACATCCTGTTCTGGCAGTCCCCAATAGGTCGATACGACCGTCGTCTCCAAGCATCTGTTTGCGAAAACATTTCATTTTGTATTAGGAGCCTTAATAATCGAAGTGACCAACTAAATGATCGCGTGATGGCGGAACGAACAGCTTCCCTTAATTTCGGTTAATGCAGCTGAACTATCGTGGAAAAAGGCTATTACGTTTTTACGCACCCCGCACCACCTGTTGAACCGGCTGGTCTTTCTTTTAGCCGAAATAGGCACACAGTGCCAGCTACGATGAACCTGATTTAAAAAAGAAAAGACGCCCCAATAACCTAATGGTAATGTGTGAAACAGGGACTCATGTGCCGTGTATGTTAATATCAAGAGTAAAAATATTGCTTGTTTCTGGGAAGGGGGGGATAAGGGTGGATTCGTATGATGGAGTTAATGGGTGTTTAACGGGTTAACAAACGTAAAAGTCTAAGCATTTAATTTTCTAGTAAGTTAGCCAATGATAGAGATACTAGCTCTAGTTTGATAGCCGTCAATTCCATTGGGATGACTGACCAACCATTGTAGCCTCCATTAACGCTGCAAACACAGCCACCAAGCAATCTGACGAAAACCATCGCCCTACGTGAATAGGTGACCATACGCGTCCAGCCCAATTATCGCCGCCCACAATCAGCAGTGTAGTTATGGTGCTTGACGCCTGAAAGTATTCTCATCACTACTAACCTATCTTACAGTATCTTTTGAAAATTTTACTGTGACCGTCCATCTTTTGATCAATTTTTCGGTTCATCTTTGTCTACCAGCCGAACCACCATATAAGTTCAAACTTTTTCCCTTTACTCCTTGCTTTTTCCATCAGTCTTCGCGCGTCGACGACGATATCTCTGATCACGCCAATAGGCCAAACGACCCTATAAACGTTCTTCTTTCGTGCGCGCTCTCCGAAGACATGAACACTGTTATTTTAGCAGCGAAACATAGCTGAGCAAATGCGATCAACTACGATAATTAGTAGTTCGCTCGTTCATTTCGAGCAGCTCCGTAACAAAGAAGCTGCGACAACGAAGGAACGACCAGTTCTGCCACGTGTATCTGCAAGCGTGTGCGGCTAAATATCGATGGCAATATGTGAAAGGAGTCATCTAGCCATCTCGACCGCTTTCGTCAATGAGAGAATATCCCTATGAACGGCCTTGATATTTACGGAACATGGTGAACGAACATGCTTCTAGCGCCATCGACGGTCGACTAGCGAAGCTCCAGCCCACCTGGTCGCCTGTCTGTGCGCTCGCGTTGTCATCAGACATTGCTTTCACGTTGCCGTTTCGGTTTCAGTCCGTACGATGTGCTTACCGCTGCCACCTGCACTGGCGCTACTGCAGCAACTGCTACCGCCGCCACTCGTGCAAAAGCTAAAAAGCTAGAAACCGATTGGCGGCTCGAAATACGTACGTGCATACGTAAATGAACATGTAATTAGCACGTAGAATCACACCAATAAACAATGGACTTCGTCGCTAAGCCCACTATTCAAACTCGCACTTCGAGTCGACAGAGAGAGTGCGTTTTTCCTTTCGTTTCTTTCGCCTCTTTTCGCTGCTGAATCAATTCGTGTAGCGGCTGTTGTTGTCGTTGTATTAAGTAGAGAACAGGCGATCGATTGACCCTCGACCACCTGGTGCAACACAATGATTTATACCTGTAGCGGTTCTCGTAGTGACGGCAAGGTCAGCGACGGTAGTAATGCAGCGCCAATACTAGAAGCGGTTGAGCAGAGAGTCGATACTGTAACAACACCAGTAGGAATGGTAGCGGGAGGGCACCGGCAGCCACCAAGACATCATTCAATTTTAAAGGTCCACCCACTCACCTAACTAGCTTTCTTACTGCATCCTTTGAAAGAAAAAGCCGAAGAGGCAAGAAGGGCGGGAAAAAAGATTCGAGAGTAGACGATGGCTAATTCTGATAAATAAACAAATAAAGCCCACGACATCGGGTTGCGTCGTACATATAAACACGCCGGAGTACACCGTGTGTCCTGCTAGCGTGCAGGAATTGCCGCTCCTTTTCTGACTGGCGTCAACTGCTACTGCGGGCGTTTTTGGCGTGGCCAAAGAGGAAGAGGCGGTAATGTTTGCGCAATTGGCCGGGGTCAGTTCGTTACTAATGCTTCTGAGTGGACCAGTGTAGCTCCGACGTCACACTTGTAGCGTCTTGCATCCCGCTGCGTCCTTGAGTGAGCGACGCGGGCGAACGCGTATCGTAGCTGCTACGAACGTAGAATAAACAACGACCAAGATTGATGCTTTAGATCACGAGCTTATATCATTGCAGAGATCACGTTACAGAGGGACAAATGGGGTATGATACAGTAAATGAGGAATCTACGTCGCGAGAAGCTAGGGCACTTTTGTTCTTAGCTCGATATCGACTAGGTGGAATGTTTTTCCGGCTTATTTTATTGCGGCAATGTAGGTGGATCACTTATATTAGTTACTTAACAATTGACTAACATTTTAACCATACCGACGAATATACGCCTAACATATCATGCGCGATTTTGCACAGCCAGTGCTTTCTGAAAGGTATCTAAGAAAGATCGCTAACCTTGTGTGCTTCACACGTGGCGTGCATGTACACTTTGGATATTGTATGTATAGGTAATTTTAGACAGTTATCGAAGTTCAATTGAAGTCACGGTTAACTATAACTTGTCGATACACCTCTTAAGATATAAATCCTCTAATTCTTGCTAGTAAAATGATATTAATTGCTCACTTTACACGTTACAGGGAAGAGGTCGGATTGAAAAAACAGAGATTATCGAGATGGCTATCAAACACCTTAAGCATCTTCAGGCACACGCTTGCAAAGATCCAGGTTAGTAATGTGGCACTAAAATGAGGCCGCCTGGAGGCACAAACCAGGAGGATATGAACTATTATAAGGAACATGGTTAAATATGCTTTAATTTTGCCATGTCACGTAAGTGACTCCTATCCAAGGCGCTCTACGCAAAGCTCAGAAAACTCGCAGATCGAGGTTAAACTTTTTGAACCGCCTTCAGAGTTGGCTCGAGTTTGAAACTATTCGGCGCGCGGCTGACACTAACCTTTGCTGATCTTAAAAAGGCTGGCCATTGAAAGTAAAGTTTTATCTCCGGCTTCCGAAGGATCCGCTTGCTTGAGTGGGTCAGGGTTCGCTTGAGGTTATCTTGATTCAACATGCCTTCACTTTTTTACTATGTAAATAACTCGACTCTGTATTTAGAATGATAGTTACTTGAGTACTTCTGTTCGGTACAAAGACACTTCTAACATCGAGAAGAAAAAACTGAGACATTTTCGTCCTGACTCTGAACAACGTACCGGCTACTAAAGCTCTAACCCTCTTTTAATTATAAATGAAATTTGTTCCACAGAATTACGTAGCATTTACGAGATAGCGCGTTCATAAAGTATAAACATAGATGTGACTTGGCTTTAATGTTTTTTTTTTTATATATAAAAGGGCACTTATATCCGCAGCTATGTAAAAAAATTACATCAAGTTCACCGTCGTATAGACATTACTATGAGTGCTTATATTAATACGAATAACAATTATCTATATATACACGTATATATACATCGTTTTGCGCGATGAGCGTTGTATCAGTACCTGTAGTTGTTTGCCTCTCTGACGACGACGACGTGTGCGATCTGATTGCAGCGACTTGCGAGGTTGCGCAGCAAATCGAGAACGATCATCGGCACCAGTATCGTCTCGGTTTCCATGAATGTATGTCCGAGTGCGTGCGGTTCTTGGTTGAAATTGAAGGCATGTACGCCGGCGATGACCTTTGCATACGTCTAATGAATCACCTACAGAAACACTTTGACAAGGTGCAAGGACACGGCTTCTGCTATCAACTACCGCAGGGTACCACAGCAGCGTCGACTATGCCAGGTGGAGTGGGCGCTGTGTCGCCACCTACCGCTGTTAGCGCTGGCCTACCAGCGCCCGGTGCGCCCAGCGGCCTGTCGAGTCCCTGCGTAACCAATGCCTCTGGCCAGTTAATCCATCAGCAAACACACCAGCCTACGCCAGTTCCCATACAAGTAAGTGAATACTGAAAACATTTCGATTATGTATCATATACGTGTTCAAGTAATACTTGCTACCGATATCTAAGCTCCAATAGACTAGTGGACAAGTAAACCCCATCGAATTGGTAATGTCTACAGCGTAGTACAAATTCATTTTCGTGATCATTTACTAGACGAGTTTATCTCTAATGTGGCTGGTTTATATCTATCTATATATAATGATCCAGTTCGAAAAATTAAGTGATATCCGTTATAAATGACAGCGACGGGCCGCCATTCATTACGAGCTTGTCTGCTTTACCAAATCACTCGATATATTTAACGTTCATTAAATGATTCGTCCATGATATAGTTCCTATGCGTAAGTACAACAATCAAGGGCTTCAATAATTCCTGTCAGACAATGTTATTGTTTCCGATATTTGTCTGTGTTCTAACGATATGACTTGAGAATACTTATTCTAGGATGAAGGAGACTGAGCTTTAAGTATGTTGCTTAGATGAAGAAGAATCCGTTAAAAGCAGTGGACGTTATCAATGACAAACTCTACGATGTTGTTGATTTCGGAATATGCTCTTTGTTTAGATCCATCCTCCTTCTGCGGAAATGGTGAGTGCTCCACTAACAGTCGCCTCCTCCGTTTTGTTGTCTGCCGGCGAAGACGTGAAACCGATGGACCTCGAGTCTACCGAATCGTCGGCCTTCACACGCCGAGTTGGAGGCCCTTTCGCGCCAAGGGGCAGACTTCTTCAAGATGTTCCTCAAAACCCAGGGAGCAGTCCTGGGAACTCGGTTGCACAGCAAATGCATCACCTCATGGTGAGTATTTCTGTCGAATACCACCTGGACATACCACACGTGCGTACACTTCATGGCTATCGAGGCAATAACATTGGATGCATAGATGGACCTGTAGAATAGTCGGCATACTATATACGACTTGACGCCGTGCGCGTGTCGATCTCTTTTACATCTCGCCCGAGGTATTATTGGTTCAGCCGTTCGCAAATGTAACCAGTACACATGGTGTGCGTGTGTGGGAAACACTGGCCCATCGTTACCTGAGAGCGTCACCAGACGTATGCTTAGCGTTAACGCTGTGTAATGATCCAGTCGTATCTAGGTAGCTAGGAAGTCGTCGCTGGCGTAAAAGGTTATTTTCTTTAAACGAATATTGTGCTATTTATGGCAGTTGCCCAAATCGATGTATGTATATGTCTGTGTCTGACATCCCGAGAACATTCGTATACTGTTCGAGGGTCGGCCGTATTAGCTACACACAGAGTCATCTAACAATGGTAAAAAAAATGTTGTCTTGCTAAAGGTCTCATTGTTTGAATCAGTGAGCTAGTTTTGAATGTGATTTTTGGAAAGCTCCTATTCGGATAAGTATTTCTTTCAAAACAACGGTTTTCTACCAGTGATCGAACTGTATAATACGAAAAATTAGCCATTTCCCTATCATTGGTTTCGATTAAAGATATAGTGTTCTTCTCGAATTTGTGCCTCTGCGAATGATACGCTCACTAGGTGCCGAAACAGGAGGGTTTAGGCGAAAACGGTGGCAGTAGCGTCGGTGGGCCTTGCTCGGCAGAATGTAAGCCTTGTCCGGGCGTCGAAGCACGCAGCCCTGTAAGTGAAACGCCTACCGGCTCGCAGGCCCAAGCAAGTCAGCTGCGAGAGATGCTGCAAACGCCAATGGCTGGCAGCTCTACTCTCTTGTCAGGTCCGCCTGGATTGCCAGCCTGTGAATTAAACATGCGAAAACGAAGCAACATAGACACACACCTGTCGACGACGTCGTTCGCTAACCACTATGGCAGTGGGCCAACCTCAACCGTCACCGGGGAGCCCTCTCCAGCAAAAACCCCCAACATCCTCCAACAACAGCAACAACAGACCTCCGCAACAACTAATCCTAACGAGGAGGTTTGGTTAATTTCGCTAACGAATCAAAGTTGGAATAAGTCTGTGAATCTATGATCGTTTAATCTGCCATACAAATATAATATGCTTTTCGAGCTCTATTTTTGAATCAGTTACAGAGTCCAGCAAATGTATACACGTCATCCAGTATTGCAAAACCATTTATAACCAACGTTTTTACGTATACGATTGAATATTTCACCCATCTGTCAGAGACGCTTGATAATACACGTGTTCCGTTTGCCGAATGATTTCTAGCCTTTGCCTTCTAACTCCTCAATAGTCTCTAGTCTTGACAGTAGAATAGAATAGGCCAATTAATGTGTGGTCTCTCTGGTAGATTAGCGAGCGCAAGTTATCCCCTAAAGCTTTCCGAGCCCATTTGCGTAACTTGAGTTAGGTTATCAGCCAGCTTAATGTAACAATGCGTGCCATCATCGAACGACAAAAGACAGGTTTTCAACTAAAGTGCATGGTATATTTAAAAATATCGAAAGACAATATAATGGTTGAGCAGCTCTTTTAATTCGCCCACGGGCAACATTGACAAGTTTGTTGCTCAGTCCGATCTGCTGCGTAAAAACTATTTATTAATTCAGTATTAATTATTTTTCGTCGATAATCAATATGTCGGCCACACTTTATTTGCTACATGCTCACTAAGCTTTGGTTCGTATATGTGTCTAACCCAGACATGAATTCAGTATGATATCAGTAAGACTAAGTGTTCACAAGTATACTCTGCTGCCCAAGTACGACAATCTTCAAGATATATAAGTTATGTATTGTTAGAGAGAAATGTTTACCGAATTATAGTTGAGTAAAGAATTATTGTTCTAAAAGCCAAAGTTCAACTGTTTAACTATCAGCAGGAAAATTTCACAATGTAATAATACAACTTACCCGATCCCACGGTCTCGATTGTGATATCTAATGGAATAAAAAGTAGAATTACATCTTGAACGTGAATATAGCTGGTTAAGAAATCAAGAACTCGCTTACCCAATCATCACCGGCAGTGCACTTTGCAACGGGCACCTTAAGTAGGTATCGAGTAGTCGTTAGTGGGTCTCGGATGAGTTAACCACCAGTCCTGACCCTGTTCCAGTAGTAAGTGAAGGAAGGATGATCGAGCTAGGAAGTTTTGAAGATCACAGGGCCGAGCGATACAAACTACATTGCAAGGGTACATAAATGTTCCAATGTGTTGATGACTGTTGCTTTTCAGGTATATAATTTTAAAAAGAACATCAAAGAGCGATTCCAGTCGAATCTGAGGTTGTTTTCCGCGTCACCGACGGACAGTGTCGATGGAGAAGACTCAAAAGGCTTCACCGGTCGTGAAGAACGACGCTACTCGCATTCACAGGTCTGAAGACAGAGTGAAAGAGAGAGCAATGACTCTATATAAAGGGGTATACAACTATAATAAATATATGTTAAAAGATTACCATTTTCTAAAACGTTCTTTTACACCAAGTCCAGTCAATCGAATCTATCGAATAATTGATCTATTCATAAGTGAACTTCGTAGAGTTTCGTATATATATATATATACATATATATATATATATATACGAAACTCAGTGCATCAAACATATATATATATATATATATACTGACTTGAGTTATTTGGAATGGGCAATTTGGCCTTGAAAGAACTTCTATAACAAATGCCATATGCATTAATTCATTTTAAGATAAAAATATAATAAGCTCTGCAGTACTAAATGTGTGTAACCTGCTTTGAGTAACATCTGCGTTATGATCTCTAATAATGCATAACCATTACATGTATATATTACACAACCTATGTGCGTAAAGAACGCTTATTAATAGGGGCTTCACTGCCCTAGTTATTAATTTGAAAGAAAAAACATTGTAACAGACTAGAACTAGACCAGCGTCCGCCGCCAACAACGCGGTAACGGCGGCAATTCTGATAGAATAGTAAGTTGATACTTATTGTGCGCTCAGTGTTAGATCGGCGCTCTTTTCGACTAATTCCAATGGCCGAGTGTTGGTATATGTATAGGGGCAGTTAGTAACGTCCATGTTTCTTACCCCGGGTCGTTGGATGGTGCTTGTAGGTGCAGGGCCCCGTGGCGTCCCCGCGTAGTCCTGCTTCGTTCTACCGTCATACGGTTTCGGCTCCTCCTATGGGCGAACTGGTCGATGCCGAACCCGTAACACTGGCCACAGACCTGTCAGTGAGCGTTGATAAAAGCGGCCGCCCGCCGCGTGAGATCCGAGAGTCCCGGGAGATCCGAGACAACAGCCGCGAATGTCCCCGTGGCGGTGATGGGTGCGTCGTCAAATGGGAATCTACAATGACGATGAATCAATTGGACTCGAGCAACAGCGCAGGAAGTCCTCCCGGTAGCAGTAACCCTTCATCACGTTCTAGCGCGAGTTCAGGCTATAGCAGCAACGGCAGTTCAGTAGAGGCTGGCACCCGTCACCCCGTGACGAGTCCACCTTCGCCTGCACCGCCGGTCCTGGCGCAAGCCTTGACCGGCTCGACTCCATGCACCAACGGTGCGCTAAACACATCGACCGGTCCAAACTCCACCGTCTCCACTGGCGTACCAATATTCGCGCTACACCCTAAACGCGCCTTCTACATTCCACTCACGATGGAATCAAGCCTGTTGACGCCATTCTTGCAAGCGGATGACGAAGCGGGCTCTCCCGTGCTACATCCAGTCAGCATTTCTGTTAACTTCAACCAACTCTACCGTAAAAATATTACAGCCACGCCGCAGGCGCCACCATGGATTTGCGTTCGCGCGGCTGAGCCCCGGTTGCCGCTGCTTTTGCCTAATGGACGCCTGTAGACCAATCATCTAGACTTGACCCCGCACTCATACGATACAATGAGGAGCAAAACTAGACACATTAAAAAGAAAACCATAAAAACAACCGCGAAAGTTGAACCGGAGACAAAGGAAGTAAATTTCAAAAAAAAACAAGAATAAAGGCATTGAGAAAAAACGAAAACAGTAGGGATCGAAGCAGCGACACCCGATCCCAGATACAATCGGAGGAGCAGCAGCAGCAGCAGCGAGGATAGCCAATATTCATGTTTATATTTTAGCTGATGATTGTTTATTTGAATTGATTTCAATTATTTAGCAAACAACAACATCGTATCAGATGCGACTGTGTGAGAACAGAAACGGTAACGACGACGCGTCTATTGCGTGTGGGCAGAACTTCGCTTTGTCTGTTCCTGATATAGTGGTCTGTGATTCTAATGATTACGGTTAATATTCGTTTATCGTGATGTTATGACAGCGATACGTTGGTAATTACGCTGACACATGGTATTTGCAGCAGCAAAAATCTATAGAGTTTTGTTAACGATCATGGGCAAAGATATAATCCGTATGTATGGCTATTGGAAAAAAGACGAATGTAGAGAAAGATAGTTCACGATACGAATTATTTCATTTTGTCCGTCGTCCAAGACCCAGTTGATTTGTTTGCATGTTTACGAAATGTTGAAAATAAAACCTACATATAGGATAGCGATCGAAAATTGCCGACATTGACACCCTGAGCACTGGTTTAGCACCGGGATTGCGAGCATTTGGCTTTAACGGTTGGCCGGTATCGAATATAAAATCGACAGGGAACTTAGGTTGATCAAATGCTGACGACGAATTATAAGTCTTCTAATATATATATATATATATATATATATATATAACGTAAAACGCGTTCATCGCGCTGCGTCAGAACGAACGTCGGATTTAATTGTGGCTAATAACACTGGTTCGTATTATAGCAACGGGTGCACAGCGCAAAACACACACTCACTGGCAACTTAAGTAAGTTAGCACCGTTGTCTGTTAGTATTTGATGGCAAAACAGCTGAAAACCTTCAGTGTGGAATTTCGACACGAAAAATTATTTGTATCCGTCGCTGTCGAATCAATGATATAAACCAGTACGGGCAACTCTCGGTAGCCTCGTAAAAATGATGCCGGCGCAGTCTTTGAAGATTCTGTGATTAAATGAGACCTCATTGTGATGACGAAAATTGTTATAGAGATGCTATCATGATGTTACGAAACATGTTGTTATGATACTTCATTACCACTGCTACGTTATTATAACTAATTAATTTACAGTATAATATTATTACCGTTATTATTAGTGTTACTACTATCCTTACTATTGTTAAACGGTGATGACAGCGTTAGAGGGAAGACAATTAAATTTTGCTTTAAATTCATAGCACGATCATAAACAAAAATCATTATACTGTAGTTAATAATGCTACCACTAGAGGGCTCTGTAATTATACACATAAATAAACACTCGTACATAACAGTAATAGGAAATATGTATGTTATATATACCAATGGATTTCAAGTCAAATGAAAAGCTACGATACGAATAATTACGTGAAGTAAACAGAGTGGATTAATTGTCAATTGATGGCGAAGATGATCACCAGAAGAAAGGTGTTGTATAGGAAGGAACAATGGAGGAGGCCGCATTTGTTCTTGTGTCGAAGCGGTGAGCGCTGATTCACTGGGATACTGAACCCCATCCAGTGAGAAAAAGGAACAGAACGAGTGTTGCAATAGGTGGAAGTAGACAAGTTAACGGCCAACGTTCGACTTATCGACGTGCTGTTGTTGAAGACGGAGTAGCATTGTAAAAGAGAAGCTTCAATTCGCAGTTGCAACAAGAACAGACAAAGGGAAATTTTAGAGAAACGTGAATCTTGATACATTGTTATTACATTACGTATACGATAATATTATTAAGAAATAATAATATTATTGTATAGTTAGGAATGACTGTAATAAGGGATGATGCGTTCGGCTGTACAGAAATCGATTTGCCCTGAAGCGTTCGTACGATAAGGACGACGATGTTATTTTATTAATTACTGATATTGTAAAAGCTAATTAATGATCATAGTAAGGAAATATTTTGGATTAGTATAAAGTAAAATATCGAACGCTTCCGCCGCGATAACGGCAGTAGCGTTATGGATCGAGGCGAAGACATTATGCGACTTAATGTTACCATACGAAGTCAAAAAGACACTCAAACACAGAAAAACCTCGAGGAAATCAATGTGGGTAATAATACACGGAGAAATAAATTGACTTTATAGTAACGGCATTACATGAAAAACCGAAGAATTTGAACAGACTAAAATAGTCAATTTATGGGCAGATCTATAAAAAGAAATAATAGAAAACGACTGGCCTGATAGACAAAAACTTTTTTTAGACGGAAGATACAGAAGATCCAGGCAGAAGATATAGGAGCCGATTTGAAAGGGAGCTGGCATCGTCCTGTCCGATTGTAGATTGCAGGCCTCTGGGTGTTCTTTGATCGTTGAGTCAATAGCGCGATTGAACCGAAGTGAGAACACTATATGTTAAAAGTTTCCTGTGAACACAGTTTTCTATTGAAGGAGGGAGAGACGTAAGCGACATGTAAAATAGGGCAGAGGGGAGAAAAGCGGCAGACAAACAAACCGTGGGGCTAACGATGTAGGAATAGGTAGGCTCGTCAACGTGTGTGACCAGACAAAACCAGAGGGGAAAAAGTCTAGCTGAGAAATAACAAAATAAAGAAACATAACTGAAAGTTTACTGGCAGATCCATTCCCTCTTAACAGAGAGGATCCTTGTGGTAATGCTAAACACGCTGAGACAGCATTCATACAAAACTTCTGAATGTCAATTGCGATAAAACTACACGGCCAAGTTTGTAGAATAAATGATGGATCAATAGAATTGATTAAAAAAAAGAAAAAAAAAAGATAAATTATATTCTTAAGATATTCTATGATAATGACTTGATTGATATTATCAAAGCTATATTTTCCGCCTATTTTGTAACCTGCGCCAGGTCGCCGGAAGTGTTAATCAACGCTGAACAAAAAAGGCTTCGGTTTGCATGGAACGCTCGCACCTACTGAAGATCATATTCATATATAAATGTTTGTACTACGGAAATTTCAAATTTTACTGTGGCCTTTTATTGGGGACGTCATTGTGTCTAAAATGCGAGTATGTGTTAGACCTAAGAGATAGGTTTTGCCAGTCCAAACTTTGCACTATAACTTACTATCCCTTCTTAATACCCTCCCTTGATCTATGGGAAGACAGATGATGAATAAACGTATCAGCGTATTGTCCACTCCCTTCCGCCTAGCATTTCTCACTAAAGAAGCCTTCAGACATAAGACGCTGCTCAATGTTCACAAATTAAACCCTACCACCCAAAACCTCTTTTAAAAACTACCCTTCTAAAAGATACACTTTGATACATACTGATATCTAAACACAGACTTTAGATGAATAGCGATGAATGAACTTACATGCAAAGATCCTCTCTAGGAAATGGTGGTAGTTTAATGGGACGAACTGCACACTGAATGCTTTTTCCAGGTGCATCTTAATCTGATTGCGCCATTTGTTAGGGTGGGCGAGCCTACTTTAATAGATCACATGATTACCGGCATAAGGAAACACTGCTACTTGTAGAAAAGGGAACCCAAGACACATATGAACAACAATATGATGTGAAGGAATAAGCTGACCAACCTCTCTGTTTTTGCCTTCAGAATACTACCTGCAGAATATTTTTTCTACCTTTTTTGCGGGATTGAAGCACCAGTTCCCAGTGCCGAAGGTCGGCTTTCGCTCAAGGATGACAGACAAAAATTATATATATATACGCGAAACAAGCAGTCCAGACCGACCTTGTGCTCGTCTACTACTCGTTCTTATTGTCGTTGTTGTTCCCTTTGAAACGGATGATCTTGGCCATTGAGCTTTCGATACGCACTGCACATGTAAACACCGCTTCAGTGTCTAAGGTCTATTTTTGTATATATACTGAGATATATGTATGTATATATATATACATATATATAAGTGAATAAGATGAATATATATATATATATAATTATATAGTACCTAATTTTGACCAGCCGGACAAAGCTTCTGAACACCCCGATCTTTATGGCGTTTTGTAATGACCGACGGAAGACCAATAGAAGACAAATATGAAGTAATTATGATAACGTTAAAGATGATGACGAAAGGTACATCCAAACACTCTCTGGGTCCGAAGGAGGTCTGAGGAAGGGCAGGCGAGAATAGAAACGATCGTTCAAAAACCGGGAAAATTTGTTATTAGTAAGTAAATAGTAAAAGCGCCAGTCAGGGGAGCAGTAAGACTTCTTATTATAAAAGAATCGAACGCCGACAAACATTTAAGTGACATCGGGAAGTCCATTAAGTTGATATATATATATATATATATATATATATATATATATAGGCACGGCGAATGGAAACAAAGTGAGCAACGGGGTCAAATAATGGCTTCAACAACGTTGACGAGAGAAAAGTGAAATTTACTAAGTAAGGATGAACGGTGAGGTGATCGTTTTATTCTCCGTGCCAGGTACGCGTTGGACAGGTCGTTAAGACTATACTGATATAATGTTTACTGAACTCTGCAGTAAATGGCGATGTTGAACGGGAACAGCAGCGGAAAAAAGATACAATAGGAAAAAAATGCTATGGAAACGCTACACACAGACAAAGCTACGCGGGAAACATGGCCGCGTACATATATACGCTCACTCAGAGATACAAACAGACAAGGATACAGCAGCTGACCCATGTTGAACACACAACTAAAAACAATATAAAAGAAACAAACGAATCGAGCCCTATGAGCTCAAGAAGTCATTGAACGCCGCTATTGTACATAAATAAAATACCAAGAATGAAGATTATATTGACGATGATAACAATAATGACAATAATAATTAATGATGATGACGATGAGGTACTCGGCAAAAAAATAGAAACATTTGTCGTTCTGCAAAAAAAAAAAAGCCAGTTTTCGATTTATCAGAAGACTGCCGTCTAATAACAATGGAGAAATAAAAAGTGCATCATTGTGAAAAAATTACTCTGCCGTTTGCTAATCTGACATATATGTGTATACGCAGACCTACATAGTATGCATAATTTAGGTCGATGCATATCAACGATAGTTGATCTTTTATTTATTATTTTTATCTGTTAATTTATGTAGACCTTGATCTTACCTTCCGGTTTCCCTATTGCGCGATAGATTATGTAATCTCGTTCAGTTTGTACCTCCTTGTAGGGCACTGCGGCTTCTTACGATGCGCCCTAGATCGATATCTATAAACCGGGCTTTTTTTAAACTTCAAACGTAAATTTATGCCAAAAATGTATTTCATCTTGATATTAAGAACGTTTGCACGACAGCTACAACTTTTAGTTACTTTACGCTTGGGGGATATCGTGTTTGTGTCGAAAGCCAATTAATTGATTTGATAAAATTTTTTGAAAGCGCCGTAAATAAATTTGGCTCTCACTTCATTAGCTGAATCAGATTTTTTGGCTTAACGATGCGGGTCGTGGCGTGGGGGACCAATTGCTGGTCGTCAGGTCTACTTGAAATTGTATGAAATAGATTAAGGTATCGACTATTTTGTTTGCAGCCCCCAACAATACGTAAATGTAACGTAAAAGCCTATAAAAATGTCTTTGAACTTATCGTTGAAAATGTGGCATTGAATATGCGAGTATATAATCAGCAGATGGTCAATCGTTCTTCGTCGACACGAGCCGTAATAACTTTGTCTGTGTAGTAAGTTTAGTTTTGCAATTAGATGGGATGGAGTATCAGTTCGTACGTATTTAATAGCCTGACTATAGTTCATTCTCACAATCTGACTTGCTTGATCTTACAAGTTGCTTGATGTTGTAGCCTATTCGTCGTATGAACTGAGACACTTTCTCTTTTCCAAAACTATTTAGTAAAGAACTATGGTCAGTCAGTAAGTTTACATTTATTGTTGAGTTTTCGCCTACTTTCAGCTGCAGATGAACTTCCGCTAAATCTATCCTTGAGAAACGGCTTAATAGTCGAAAATGGTGATCGGGCAGGACATCGTTTAAGCGTGTTACATAATCGGCGCAAAGGTTTAAATCTCTTGATTATTTCTAAATGACAACGACAATCGGTGTTGTCCGTTTCAAATAAATGATGGGACACCACAGTCTAACAGTCTTCAAAGTTCATATTCAATACGTGGAAGGAATAAAAACTAGGTATAACGTAAGTCGTATAGCTATATTGGAGCGTTTTCCAAGCCTAGGACAGAAAGCTGTCGGATGCTTCCGCTGTAGATACTGAACGAATTATCATGCAGCCCATCAGCACTGCTGGCCAGTTTAACTACACTTGAATTGGGTACCGGGTTACGCCCTTGAAAAGACACATTCTCATTTAGGACATTTTTGATTCTTAAAATACGAAACGGTCTCAACGGTGTATTCTCTAGAGCCGGAGATTTGTCGAGAAGTATCCTAGGTCTTGCGCATTGGCTGCCTTATACCGTAATGCGGACTTCATTCCTAAATTTCGACCTAAATTTGCCCAGACGTTGTTATCTATAATAGTGCCCTGACGAATCTGTAAGTTACAGTCGTTAAAAAAACCTAGATAGATTCTTTGATTGTTATTTGTCAACACTGCGACTTCAGTGTTATTTCTCTTACGTCGAGCTTTTCGGCTGACCCTGCTCGAGTATGGAAACTGAGATTCGAGACTCCATGTCCGTGTCTAGATTTTAGGCGTAATAAGTAAATGTTGTAAGCGAAAATGTTCAATGCTTAGTATTGCAATAGAGTATTGCACGTTTTGCAAACGTTTTTTTTTTATAGATGATTTGAGTAATTGGCACTACAGCCAGAACATGGAGATAGAGCGGTAAACACTTATATAGTTCATGTCTAGAAGTGCAAGCTCTAAAAGTTCTATAACGTGCACCGTTTTAGTTAATCTGGATCGGACTGACCTCATCGTTTCAGTGTGTAATTCTCTTGGGGTTGCGTTTGACCTATTCTCCGAAAATCCAAGCACACTTGTCTAGCATGCTCGTATTAAGGCTTATTTAGGCCGCATATAGAGATTAAACATTGGGCAATGTAGACGTTTCTGCAATCTCATAAAGTTGGTTGACCGTCCCCGTGTAAAAACATCTTTAAACTGTCGTTATTCTTTTGTGCCTACTATATAATTGTATGGACGACTTAAGAGGGATAAATTATGACCAAAAAGATTTTCGAGAGTAGCCCAAGTATTATTATAAAAGAAATCTGCAAGCTTTGCGGTAGCACGTGTGAAAAGAAGCGGTTGAAGGCGGCAGCGTATTTTTAGCTGTATCTAACAACGAGTCACCCGTTTTGGCTTAATTGCGTTAAGCCCACGGCCCTAAAACATATTATAGGACTATTCGCTACCAGTAAGGAAGCCGCGTTTCCACGAATGTGCCAAAAAAAAAAAAGCGGAAATCGCAGTCTGCTAACAAATTGACCCCGCTTCCTTTCTAAATGGAACAATAACGGACAATACCTAAAAGGAACTGAATAGGACAAGGCGGCATGTCGTAGCTTGATATACTGCAAGCGAGCCTATATGCAATGGTGGATTACTATAGGAGAGATTCTCTTTTTGACGAACGCGATGCAAAGCGCACAGAGATCGATATCACGCTGGCTGCGCTTCTTGCGCGCATTTTATCTACAAAAAGTCTATGCTGACAGTGGCTCTCGCGTTGATATAATAAAGACAGCTTCAAATTGAAGCCGTTTCAACATCTAAATTCAGTGGTTAATTTATTTAATCCCGGTCTCGTCTTAACGTCAAAATTTACCATATGTATAATCTATGTGTAGCAAAAATACCGTTAGGATGCATTTGTATTGTGCATAGATATTGCGATTGGCTTAAATATATGTCTGCATATCCTTGTCAACGTTATCTTTGTTTATTCTCACTCTTTTTTGTGTTAAGCGTGCATTCCCGTTTTTCTAGAACAGAAATGGCCAAGAATATGATTTTATTATTAAAACTAAGAAATAATAAATAGCCATTCCTTGCTTTAAATTCGTTAGATTTCTCTCTTCGCGCATGTACGAAATCGATGAAGACTTATAGGTCGGTGAAGGTACTCCATAATTAAAAATACAGCAAGGGCTGGTAATTCCAACAGTTCCATGCCTTCTCGAGTCAAAAACGTTCGGTGCTTTTTTTGGCTAATTAGTTCATGTCGCTAAATATCTCCTAGTCTTGATTCTGTGGACTTCGGCTATTTGACGAATTTCTGCATTGAACCTGGTAACCTTCGTTTCACCTCAGTTGAACGCTAATTCATTGTTATGCAAACAGAACAATGGACCAATACTTCTTCTGAAGTATTTGTTCAATTATTTCTCCGCCTTATCAAACAACTTTGAGGGTGCTTTATATTTCCACTTAGATGATCCAGGAAAACAAACATTCGTTACGAGTAATCTGTCTTTACTTTTACGATGCCTAAGGTATCAGTTGACCTTGTTTTTTCCGTGACGCTTAGCTAGTTTTCCGGCTTTTCAAACATATGGAAACCTCATACGTATTTCCGATAATTTCAAGTGACAGTAGAAAAGATACTGTCTAATTATTTGGATTAGTAACCGTAACTAGCTTGGCTAAGACGAGTTAGTCCGTCTCAAATAAGCTATCCTCAATCTTTACGATTTCAAAAATTGATTCAGAATGAAAAGTATTCATTATCTTCAAACTACTAACTTAGGATATAAAAATAACTTTTTATGTGAATAAAGACAAGCTGTGCCGAACTAAGATATTGTAGAGGTCACAGAACAGTACCTCCAACCTAAAATTTGCCTTGCAATATTTTCCTCAAATTTCATTTTTACAGTTATAGTTTTAAACACAGAAAGCATAAAAACAAATTAAATAAAATGCGTGTGATAAATAAAGGAATAAACAAAACCCAACGCCAGGCAGAACAGACTGGCTCATATGACCTACGATGTTTCGTAAAATTTAAATGGCTATGTCCATGTAACAGCTGACAGTAGTAGAAATCAGCTCATCTAAAAACGTATATTCTCACGCGCTAGCTGACCTGCTGCTGAAAGCTCTGGGCCAGCATAATCCAGCATCACAGGAGGTCCTGGGCTGGTACTAATGTTACTAAGAAAAGACAGAGTTAGAAGAGTTTAAAAACACAAAAAAAAGCCATTTAAAATACAGAAGAATAACAACTATTTATGATATACTGTAATATCTAGTAAAACAACATCAATGCCGGAAGGGCCTAGATGTACTCAAACTGAATAGGTAAAGATCATTGTACCGATAGCTGTGAAGCATTTTAGGCCGAAGGTTGGCCGAATATGGGAATGAGTACTATATAAAATACTAACGATGTAGAAAACCTGAAACTGTATTTAGTTGCACCACATAAACAGAAAACGAAAAGTTCTTTTTTTTTTTTTTTTTTTCGTAAATTCGTGCAGTGGTCACTTCAGCTTGTCGTCTGGCGTCTCGAGATGTTATACGAGAGGCCAATATTTCTTCTGATAATTATTCGAACTACGACGTTAATATCTATAGCGTTGTACGTATTACCGTCATGCTTTTTAACTCACTCTATTGCAGCT